CACCTGGGAGTCGGCACTCGACGCGCTGTCAAAGGACGAAAGGGCCACCCTCCCAGTAAAGTCCGGAAGGCTGGGGAACCCCCGGAGTGCCTCCTCCACCCTAACTACCCTCGCCACTAAATCATCCCTCTGTACCTCGCCCACCTCCTTCCTGATCCCCCTAATCTCCTCCTCCACGCTAATGAGCCTTCCCGATAGCTCCCCTAGTCGCTCCTCCAAGCTACAGACTCTGCATACCTGGCATACCTCTCGTTGACTAGTCCCACCTACCCAATCCCCGCAACGAACGCACCTACACATCCTAGGCATCTTACTTAATGTTATTGATCCCTATTGACACTCCTACTGCTTTAGACTTATACTTTGCAGTACTTCACACTAGTTGTAACCCGGTAAGACTGTACTGTCCTAGTCCTTGTAGTAAAAGGAATACTACGAGTAATGAGCTAATACTTAAAGTAATTAAGCTGATTGATACTGGTCTAATGTGAAGTTGGAGGTAGCTATCAGAAAAACTTATGAATACTGCTACAAAGTAGCCAGGTAACAACTAACTCACGACTTAGCTGACAGAACCTCGAGAGTATCCTCCAACACGTCCTCACGCTACGAACGCTCGACCAAGACTGACACTAACACTAGGTGTCATGACTTGTGGTCTCTGTTACGTTTTACCTGCAGTCCATCATATCGGCGATTCGGGCGAAGCGAAACATCGTGGAGACTTGACGCATCCGTGGTCTCTAGGGCACCTTGATCACTCGGGAGACGATGGGTGATCTTTGGGCGACATTCCAAACCGGCAGGTCCCAGTGAAGGCTGTCATTCGAAAGGTCGATAGTTCCTACACTACGAGGCGTCACTCGAGCACGGTGGATTCCACTAGCCCATCTGGCGCGGTTGGAAGGGAGATGACAAATGCGTCTCGGCCAGCGAAGAAACGAAGAGAAAGCTCGTCGTCCCTCAAAACGAGCGTCGCTTCCGGGCCGGACGATTTCCCCCCGAAGCCTTGGAGTCGGGAGAAGACCGGGGTATTCTCCCAACGATTCATCGATTCGGTCATTTATGGACGAAAGGGAACTCTGCCTTCGTATTCGTCGCAGTTCCGTCGGCAGTTCTACCCGGTTCGTCGCGATTTCGCTTCCAGAAATCGTTCCCGTCCGTCACAGAATCGCTTCCATGCCTTTAAAGTCTCTTTGCACGTTTTTTTACCCACCCGAATGCATGTCAACGCGATCGATAATGCAGAGGGAATCCAATTATACCGATTCTCTTCGATGTTGCATAGGAGTGAGGAAAGAAGCCTTAGCAAGCAGTCGTGAGCTGTAGAGAGGAGCCGGAGAGGAACTGGAAGAGGAACCCGAAGAGGAATCCGAAGAAAAAGAAGAATGCAGCGAAGCGAGAGCAAGAAAGAAGATCCGGAAACGGAGAAACTTCGTCTGCATCTCCAGTCCGTCATAGCCAAAGTCGTGGTGAGTTTCCCATCCGACTCCATAACGCCCTTCGAAATGTCGTCATTCCTCGGGACGACACGGTCGTCGACGGTCGTCGAAAATCCGCTACTTCCCTTTTTTCCACATCGGTGATCTTCCCGCAAAGTACCAGATTTCCTTGCTCTGAAACTGCCATCTCCAGGCATCTGTTAATTTCGTGGCAACGTCGCGAGCATCGGCGAGAGTGTTCGAGGATCGAATGCAGCGTCACGTGATGTGAAGATGAAACGCAGGAAGACGTGAACGTCGTGGGTCACGCACCCAACTGACACTCGTCGCCAGCGGGATCCGCACGGACGCAAACGACTCAGCCGAACGAAAAAAAAAGTGAAGAGAGGAATCTCCAACCGGGAAATGTATCATTTTACACGAAACTGACGTTTCCGGGAAACGAGATCTCCTCCTCGGGGTTATATAAAGACAAATTAAATTATGTTTGTAAAAGTCTGATTAAGTCTGATAAAGGTTGTCGAATCAAAATGGCAGGTAAAAGAAAAAGAACGAAAGGGGGGGGGGGGGAAGTAAAATGACCAAGGGAGAACTTAAAAATGAAAACGAGTGGAAAAAAAAAAAGAATCCTTCGCCAAGCAAAGGCACGATACAATAAAAAATAAATGAAGGGCGAGACTCGGAGAGGAAATGAGAAACGAGAAAGGATCAGGCTAGCTTTTCGACTTCGTGGCTGGCTTCAGCTTTTTCATTCAGGATTTCTCGCGTCTTTTGCGATAGCGGGGGTTGGAGAGTTTAACGCGCTCTATCGTCGAGCCGATGAGATCTTCGAGGCGGTCATCGTCGGTGTCAAAACGTATACGAGTGGATTCGTTATACTGTACTTTAGTTTGGCATCTCGTACACGCTCCCGGCCAGAAAAGAGTTTCTGCCGGCAAAATCCCACATTCCGGCCGATAATCCGTCCCTAGATGTATCGGTCGCAGTCAAACCTCGCTGGTTCGATGGTAAAATGAAGACAATTCATTTTCATAATTAGCCGAAAACTCATCATGACGACGACACGAACGACCGTGCAGTCTAACTCGGGTGGTGCCCCTCGCTAGCCTCTCGAAGGAATTTCAGGAGTCTCGGCACGTCGCAACCGACAGGTGCGTACGATCGATCGGAATATCGCTCTAAACGTCACAAACGGCTTCGAGTAACTCTTACGGCGTTTTTCGGTCGTTCTTTCGAGGACGACATGTCGACGTGCTGGATCGACACGTGAACCGTGAGCCCAGGATCGTACGTGAGGGTCACGCGAGGAGGACCAAAAAGGGCCTCACTTACGCACCGATCGGCAGACGGGCGAGATTTTTTCCCACATCCAGGCTCTGGAACGTTGGCTTCGCCTCGGTTCCGGATATCGAAAAACGAGGACGCCTTCCCGGTAAACCACCTCCCTTCTGGTCATCCGCCTCTCCCTCCCCCTGTCCCTCCCCCTACTCGTACCGACGGCATAGGAATACGTGACGAGTCGACGCGAAGTACGGTCACGTTACCTTGTTCGTTCGGATCGATCGGAGAGTGGAAAGGGAATATAGCCCGAGCCCGTGCTAATGCTCGTCAAAACTTGCTTTCGCTCGACCGTGCCCAAGATACATAGGACCGTGCCAGCAGAGGGACCCGAGGTCGCCGGTCCCCCCGAAGAACATCCGATCGAGTTCTTTTTTCTCGGATCGGATTCTCGTCGGATGCGTTCTCCGGATTCCATCGCCGATTCTCTCGCGTGCGTGCGAGTTCGAGTAGACGTAAAAGCGAGTCGGAATCTCGTTCGCGTTACGATCGTAACACCGATCGTCCTTCGGTGATTCGTGAGTTTATTTTTCGTGCTTCCGATCGCGAAACATCGGAACACGGGTCATATTTTCGTTCGTACTGCAAACCACGGGAGCCATCGACTCCGACGTTCGGCCCGAGGACGATCCGAGGACTCGACTGCTTCTCCGAACCCTTCCGAGGAAGGTGGCTCAGTCGAGACGCGACGTGAGATTCGCGGTCGAGACGTGCCGTATTTTTGGTTTCTCGGACCCAGTCTCCCTTAGTCGGCTACCGAGCGATGGAAGAATCGACCTTCACGGTCCGGTGAAGGTCGACACGCAACCGAGGTCGGAAGGTGTGGCGGGAGAGACTACGTCGCGCGTGTCTCACCCGCTTCCTTCTCCCCGCCTCTGTATAGCCGAAGGCCCTTCGGAAAGGTCGGACGAGTGGTGAAATCGCTCGGTCATCCGACGGCGAGTTCGACACGGAGTCTTCGAAGCGCCGTCGGTATACGTCGATGACGATCTCCTCCATTTTCGTCCCGGACCTCCTGCGATCGCGTGCTCGAGTGGAATCATGGTTAAAAGTGGCTTCGGCGACGTCGCCGAAGAATCATTGCACGTTTGGAAAGACGTCACCCGCGTCACCCTCGACGAGTGGACGATGTGGCTGTTTTCACGTCCTCCCGGCATCAGACCGAGTCTCTGATGCCTCGGTTGCTGATCGTTCCACTCACCGCAATGCCCCCCCCCTCCCTAAATTGGCCTCGCCGATGAGAAACGAAACGGAACCGCGACTCGTTGCCGAGAGCAGTTCTCGCGGGGGTGGTGACATCATGGTGTGGGGAACGATCGGAAACCTAGTCTTCGGTAACCGTCTGGTGCCGGGAGGACGTGAAAACAGCAATATCGTCTACTCGTCGAGGATGCCGTCTTACGAACGTGCAATGATTCCTCGGCGACGTCGCTGAAACCACTTTGAAGCACGAGTTGACTCCAGCGCACAATAGCTGGCAGTCCAGGACAAAACTGGAGGAGGCTGAGGCTGTCGTCGACGTCCGACCCTGGGAGGGACAGGGTTAACGTTTCCATCCGATCCAGCACGTCTCGGGTATCATCTTCGAGAGAGCGACCAGGAAACGCCGTTGGAGCCGCTCGAAGCCGGTTCCGATATTTGGAACGAAATCGTATTTCATTTTCCCCTCGGTTCGTTCGTTTTTCTTTTCCTTCTTCTCTTTCGGTTTGGACGTCCGTTATTTTATCGGACTTTATTCGCACTTTTAATTCGGTTTTCGACGTCCCCGAAGAAGGGGACTTCGCGTCCTCGAAACGTCCGTTTCCTCGGGGTTTCCCAGAATAACGATACGTTTGCCGGTTCGAGGTGCCTCTGTTCGCACTTTCTCCATCGGATGAAGCGCACCCTCACGCGATGCCGAAGCGATTCTCGGAAAAGATGGAGCGGGAAGAGCGAGGCAGAAGTCTCGCGTTGTGTTTCGCGAAGGCCGTGCAACGAGCCGAGAGAAACGAGTCTTTGAGGAGTCCGTTCGACCTCGTTCGTACCGCAAAGGTTTTCTGCATCGACGATCGAAGAATATCACAAAGGAAAAGATTCGTGGAATAAAAGCTTTCGAAGAACTCTCCGAGAGCGTCCCGCAAAGAAAACTTTCCGGTTCGAACGAGACCTTTAAGTCGATCCAGGCCTTTCGAGCCCTCGACGTCCAACTCTTAGAATCGAATAAATAAAGGAGTTCGTCGCTTCCAGGAGGAGCAGAAGCGGATGTGCGATGCCTCGTGGAGGGGAGTCTGCGAGAGCGTCCTCGATGTCACCCGACCGAGGATCTTCACCAGGAAACACCTCAAAGGTCACATCAACAAGGTCAACGACCTTCACTTCTCCGGCGATTCCAGGTCGGCTCGTCCGTGCTCCAACGATCGCCTCGTTCCCCCTCTTCTCTTTTGGGGGTGAACGTTCCGCGTAAATCCGACGTGCGATGCTCTCGTTCGCGACGTCGCGTGGCCGTCTCCATATCAATGAAGGCATTTTCGAAGACAACCGCTTGGCGATACGGATCCACAGGCTGCGGTGTGACGTCTGTCTGCCGGTCGACAAAGAGTGTCGCCTAGAAGCTTTTCCGCGTAGGAATCCTCGTGGTACTGCCATGGGACGAACCAGTACCGTACCGGTTCGCCCCACGAAACAGCAAGAAGGCCTAAATCTCCCCCAAAAGTGGCACTTTCGGTTAAAAGACTTTTGCTTTCGATCTCCCGGTACCTGTAGGGCTGAGAGTCAGTGAATTCCTCATTTGGTACACGAATCGATGGTTAATGGATGATTCCTTGGGATGGTAGTAGGTCTAGTACGACAAGAAGGGAAAAAAGTTTTGCCTGAAACTATTCATTGCTTAAGCCGAAATAACTCAAGTATAGTTTTAAGTAGGGCTTGCGGCTCGTATTCCTGCTGGGGCAGATGCAATCGCATCCGTCCGACTCGTCTCCTGCTAGTAGGGGTAGGTGTTTCAGAGAAACGCCAACGGATTAGAGCTTAGCCCCAGGCGATCCAGTTTGCCTCGTTCGGTTTTCGATCGATGGAAAAGGTCTAGCACCGTACTCTCGACGAGACGGCGAATCGGAAAGGGTTCGAGCGACGTGTCGTGGCATTCCACGAAAGCATGACAGCATTCCGCCAACACGTATCGGCTGTGGGCTTGACGACCTTTCTGCAACATTACCACTTCGTTGCTGTAAGTACGAATCGTGTCTCGTGCGGCTCTCTCTCTCTCTCTCTCTCTTTCCTCTCTCTGGGTCCGAAAGCGATGGCCGGGAGAAGGAACCGATGCTCCGGTGCAAAAATCAAACCTGCAGGAAAAAAAAAGGTTCAAGAGACGTACATTCTTTACGTCTAGAAATTTTACGTCGAAAAGAGTTGGAGGAAGCGCATCGGCCGAACGAGGGGTTCCACGTATGAAGCCTACCTAGTCGAGTGCGTGTGGCGCTCGAGGAATGACCACTCGAAGGACTCGAGGAAAAGGACCCAGCAGCACTTCGGAAGGACCTCGTTCGCGCACTCGATCACTTTAAGCCCGTACGAACGATGGCATCGAGGAAACGGACCCCTGACCGTTTTCCTCGTTTCGGGAGACCTATGCGGTTTCCGCTTTTCCTACTGAAGGATGAACGATTATTAATGGCTCTCTGAAAATCAGGGGAAAGAGGATTGCCAAAGAGAATTATATTCCTCCCCCCCCCCCTACCTTTGCTCCGGAGGAGTCCCACCCATGCCCCTGGTGTTAAGAAGGAAGGATTAGAGAGGCCCCTTTGCCCCAACTCAAAAACCCATGAGCCGAATTTGCGGTTTCCTGAAGAAGGTCGTGCGATGAGATTCGCCTTGGACGTGGCTCCAAGGCGAGTATGGACACAGAAGCAAATGTAATATGAAACTTTTATCGGTCGAGCGACAGTAAATGTTTAAGTGGGAAAGGAAAGGCTGCGCGTGCGAAGGAAGGCGGAGTGGCACGAGCGGGTCGGCTCGACGGACGGTCGTCTGCTTCGTCTCTGCCTTCCCATCCCCGAAGGGTGAAACCCTCTGCTCGGTCCAGAGAGACGGAAACGTCTCGTTTTTCTCCACGCCCATTTTCGGTTTTGATTTTTTTTCGCAACTTCGAAGAAACTTGGATTCCCTTCCGGTCCGACCGGTTGCGCTGCAGAGGCTTCATTCCGGTACTTTCCTGAACCGAATTCGCTTTGCTCTTTCTCTCTTTTCGTGGGCGAGTGGACACTCTGGTCGTGCTTCTTATAAAATGCCTACGCCATCTACCCGACTAAATGTCGATTCGAAAAACTTGAAAAGGCAGCAAAAAATGTGCGAAAGATGTCGGCGGTTCGTCGTCGACACCCTCTAGATGCGCCCAGGTTTCCCGTGTGGATCACGAATCCATCGCTCTGTAGGCACGCGGTGTCGTGTTCGCTGGATGGGAAGCTCATCATCTGGGACGTGTGGACGGGGAACAAGACGCAGGTCGTTCCACTCAAGTCGTCTTGGGTCATGAGTGTCGCCTTCTCCTCCTCTGGCAACCTCGTCGGTCCGTCTCTTTCCTTTTTCTGTCGCCGTGCGATCGTGTGCTCTGAATTGCGCGAGGTTCCTACTGTAAGGCATCTTTACGGCGGGATTCGTGGCCGTCGGCCGAAACGACCGAGATCCGAGATAGTCCTGCGGTGGATACGAACTCTGCATGGATCCGGTAAGACGGCAGGGTTTGGAAGCGGTAGACGGGTGCGACCGACACGTCTTTCGCATCACTGCCTCGTCATTTACGCCCACGAAAGACCACGCATATTTGGTCGTTCGTATACTGGGGGAAGAGAGGGAAACACGAGGCTACTCACGTCTGTCAGCGGTCGTACCTACTACCATGAACGACGTTTCGACCTAAAACGAAGAGAGTATTCGTAGCACGAAAGTCGTGCGTCTGTCTGTGTAACGGTCGGTTCGTCTTGCGTTTTCGACGCGTGCCGCCAAGAGTCACTCGTCGATTTTTAACGTTGGACGTTGTCGCTTCGGCAGGACCGTGATTTTCCCCTTTCGTGGGGTTTGGTCTTAGGAAGCGGAGGGATGGACAACCAGTGCACGATCCACGACCTCAGCGATCGAGACGGGTCGGGGTCGGCCAAGGTCGTCCGAGAGATCACGGGATTCGATGGATTCCTTTCCTGCGTCCGATTCCTTCAAGACACCCAAGTCATAACCGGATCTGCCGATACCAACATGTGAGCCGATGTCTGCACGTCTTCGGCATCCGAGTTTGGATCCGGTAGAGATACGCAGTGTGTCTCTAGGCGATGCGAATCTCCCTGCAAACTCGTTTAAATTCGCTTCGTGCAAACTTTGTTAGAATGCGAAGAGGAAAAGGAAATAGGAAAGACGGAGCTCGACAGATGTGATACAAGTGTGCGCGATTCACGCGCGACCGAGCGAGAAGTCGAGCGAGAAGTCGAGCGAGGATATCGTTCGCTTCCAAGCCCTCTTCGGTATTTTATGAGCTAGTGTGAAAGGACGAAGAGAAGAAAAATGTTCGCTATGCCTGCTCGGTTGGTCTCGGTTCTCGACCGTCTGTTTCCTCTCCGACGAATCTTTTCCACTTCTTTCCTTCGAGATAGATTCTCACTCCCACGAGTCCTAAAAACTATCTATGCATTCCACAATTCCTCACGTTTAAAACATTCACCGGGACATTCGTGCCATCCGTGTGGAGTTCGAGAAATTAATTTTTTTTTTGGAAATAGACTACTTTTCCATTTCGAGTGCGCGTGAGAGTGAGCGCAAAAGTTTCATCATTCGTGATGATTTTTCACTCACGAGCAAGAGAGATAGTACCTTGCATTAAGATTCGCCGTTGAAGACAGCCCAGTCGCATTCAATTGCCCGTTGCCACGATTGCGACTCACGTTTGCGTCGCGTATGAAATTCAAAATTGGCAATTCCGGGCTCGAAATCACGTGTCCACCAAGTTTCACCTACATCGGTTCAGTACTTCCCGAAATAATTAATTACGTGGTGATGAGTATTGCTCTTGTTTCGATGACGGAACACCGGTCCAACCTGCAGGTATTTTTACTCCATGGAATCATAAATTGGTTTGAAAAAGAAAGTGCAGCAGCCTTCGGGACCCAAAACGCCTTTATCCTAGGTAGCCGAAAATGGAAATTCGGAAAACCCTTTCTACGTCGCAGTTTTCGTGCATCAAACGTGTCGAGCAGATGTTTGCACGTTTAAAAATTCGTACCGATTACCTCGTATACGAGTCGCGGTCTCGGATTCTCACTCGCCCATCGGTGGTATCTTTGGAAATTCTTTTCAACCACGTCTCTCTCGGAGAGTTTCTCGCTTCCTCGGTATTTTTGCGCATGAATTAAGAAATGAACGTGTTTGTGCCATCCGTCGGGAGTTCGACGTGGGACGTGAGAACGGGGGAAAAGGCAGGCGAGCACCGGGGCCATACGGGCGACGTGGTGGGGCTGTCCCTGTCCCCCGACGGAAGGACCTTCATCACGGGGAGCGTGGATAAGACCGCCCGACTCTGGGACTTGCGATCTTCAGGCAATCCTCCGATCCAAACCTTCCTCGGGCACGAATCCGACGTGAACGCCGTCTTCGTACGTCCTTTCCCTTTCCCTCTCCGTCTCTTCTCGAGTATCGTATTAGCAATTACTCGAAGGCGAAGGGTGGGCTGGAAGAATCCCACGGCTTTCGGTCCGGTACAGCTATTAGCCTTCTCTGCATCAAATTCGAATGCCGTTTAAGAATATTGGGAGCTTTTCTCACGCGCAGAATGAAGAAAGAGAGGATGAAGTTGGGGCTATCGATTTTCGCTTGTGAAAATTTTCAAACCTCACGCCTATTCCATAAATGTTCGTTCTTCGATGTTCTTCCTTCTGAATCGGCACTAGGTTTATAGCTGCAGGAAATGAGTTAAATCAGCAGCAGCTATATTGTTATATGCAGTACTGCAACGCTGTCAGAAGTCTCGCCCCAACAACAATCGGATCGATTGATACGCTGAGGACTCGCTGTTGCCTAAAAAAAAAAGACTATTAAAATGAAGAAGTATGTAGAAGGATCATTACCTTCTAGAACACTGGCTATAAGGGACCTATCCCACCAATTTAATAAATAGTTGCGTTTAGGGTATGAAAAAAAAAGAGAAGAAACGTAATAAAGCTGCTTTTTCATCACTCGATTGAAAGCTTGACTGGGTTTGCTTGCAGTATCACCCGAGTGGATACAGTTTCGTGACGGCGAGCGAGGACAAGACTTGCAGGTTGTTCGACATCCGGTCGGATCAAGAAGTGGAGAAGTTCGGGGCTCCGACCCCCAACTCCACTTTCTCTTCGGTCGTCCTCTCCGCTTCGGGTCGTCTCCTCCTCGCGGGCTCGGACGATTCCTCCATTCACATGTGGGACACCCTCAAGTCCATCCATGTCGGTCAGTCTCCATGCCCCGATTCCATTCTCTGTGTCTTCCCGGTGCAGAAGCATACGGGCAAAGCTGTCGGAAAAGTACGCGTATAGTAGAAGTACCGGTAACTGAAATCTCTCAATTGCTTGAAAAAAGTATTCGTTTAATCTTCCGTCGCTTGCCAACGATGTTGTCAGTTACCCTCTCTGGTCCCACGATTAGAAGAAATCATGAGAAAGAATGACATGATTACAGGAAATTTGGTCGGGCACGAGAATCGCATCACATCGCTGAGCATCGCCGAAAACGGATATGCCATGGTGTCTGGGTCTTGGGATACGATCGTACGAGTCTGGGGTTAATCATTATCGTCACTCTTCACTCGCCTGCAAGTCTTCTCTCCCCTTTCTCCCTTCTGAAGAATTTGTAATCGACCCTTCACGATATGCATGCATAATGTGCAACCCACCAATGAGTAGGAGTCATGTGTATGTCGTGAAACCCGATCGTGAGACTGTGAAGACGGATCTCGTTTACACGTTCGCTTCTTTCCATTTAACTGGCTGAAAAGACTGGAAATGAAATGCCAATATTCTTTCCAAGCAAAAATTCACACCAAGTAACTAGTCGGGATGAAATTTATGTCGCGTGAAAACCCTCTAGTGTTTCGATGTCTTCGCTCAGTTATTTCCGTTATTTTCTGTCACGAGGTCATGCTTTCCAATGAATCAGCTCATTTATGGGAGTGGAAGAGTGTTTTTCGACTCCTATCCCAACCCCATTCCAATATTATTCCTGGCTGGCATTTGACTTGCAGTGGGACTCATTGCCTGCGTGACCATCTCATCTCGGCTTGGTTTATCCCAAGTTATATAGCAATGTCTCAATTTCGTAGGCAGAAAGACGTACTAACAGTGACATTGACTTCCGGGAGATCTCTCCAGTCAAATTAAATCCCTGAAGGAAAAATCCGAAGATGCAGAAGATTATCTCGACGATACAGTTCACTCTCACAACAAAGCAAAGATCCAGCACCCTGATTAACATCGGCAAGGAGACAAGCAAGCACTCGGAATTCCTTAAGTGTCACCAAAGGCAGTATAGGTGTATTCACTTCTTCACGAGGAAATGCATCGTGTAAAGACCAACAGAAATGATTTGAGAAGTCATCTAGTACCCAGAAATCCTGCATAAACGACGAAACTGAGAACAGCTTGCTCATAAGTTCCTCGAACTGAGACGATCATCTTGCCCTGAAGCTTATCGCAAACAGCCAGACTGCACTAATAGAATGACGGGACAGTTCCTCCAGAAAAAAAATTCTTTTTTCGAAACATGCTTAGTAAGTGGATCCATATTTCTCTTGCATGTTTCTTCTTGTCCTAAGGGTGCCTCTCCTCTTTGGAAAACAATTTTATTCCTTCCGAGTAGGTTTCGTAAAAAAGTATGCATCTCATGGGAAAAAAAAACTTTTATAAGGAGTAGACAGACGAAATTCTCGTTTGATAGATTCGATCTGCTGATGCAATCTGCTGATGCAATCTGCACAGGTTGCTCCAGAGTTTCTCTTCTGAAAGCCATGTTTCTAGAGTTTGAGGAACGCATTTTTAACCAACGGATCCCCAGCCTTTGTGGTGGATGAATCCAACCACGCACAACCCTGCATCGTCTCATTGTTCATGGGCACCGTTTCGGTTTACCGAATCTAACCGAGAAATGAGATAGCAATTTGCTTAAGTAGGTGAAAAAATGCGGGTTCCCTTAACTGGAATGAGGCTCAATACTGGAAGGGGCTTGCCCAGCTTCTTTTTATTTCATGCTCTCTTAAAACGACTGCATTGAAGGTGCAAAATGAAACACCACAACGGCTTCAAGTTTTTATTTATTGGTTTAATTGAGAAGTCGAAGATTTTCAAATACGTCTTGCCGCGATGTCAAATCAAAAGTAATACATCCGTCAAAGGTTCAGATGAAAATTGTTCAAATGTCGAAGTTGCGCAAAGGGAGTGCGCTAATCACCGTGGGACGTCATAATGTCAAATTTCCTTGGACGGGGGAATGAATCAGATCCAGATTCTGAGATGCTACATTCAGTCATGAGTCCACCATCTGATAAAGAAAAAATTAAAGTAATCTTAAGAGATGACATGAAATGAGATCATTGAAATAAGACAGTTGTGACCGCGAAAGAGTGGTTACAGGGTGGCCACGAAGTGGGGGATCAGTTTAGTCTACGGGTTGTCTGACGGCCCCTTTCTTTTACATGCAGAGGAAAACTGCGATACTGTCATGATAACTTTGTATTTGCTCAATGTCACTCTATGTAAACTTTTCTCATCGTTAATATCCAATTTTTCCATAAAACCCATTTGCAGCCCGAAAATATATAAACTCTCTCAACATCCAACCAGACCCTTTTCTAGCTGAGTGCTGGATTTTATCACTTGCAAAAATTCTATGGTTTACTGATAAAATAATTACATGAGAAGCGAGGCGTTTATCAGGCGTTTATGAGAGGCGTTTCTCAATCTAAGCATCCTAAATCATGGGACACACTGTTCTGAACAATGATACAAGAACTGTCACTGCATTTTATCATAAATTTCCAACTCCGATAGAGATCCAGTCATTACCGCAAAACAGCCATGAAGGTATGGGAGACAGCATTCGTCGTGCCTACATAGACCCAAGGAGATGATATAGGCGTAGGTATAGATGTCGCAGTTCATTTGCAATCGTAATTTACGTGGTACGAGTCTGCCGCAGGTCGCTAGTTGCGTTATGCCTATGCCTACAATCTTATAAGCCTTGAATCTGAGAGAGAAATTAAAACAGCGCTAAAATGGCGCCGTTATTCTGGGTTCCATGTCAGTGTTAAGGTCGTTGCACACTTTGCGTGTCATGCATCCTTTGCGTCTATGCTGGGGCAGGCAGGCAGACGCACGAGGGCACACGCATGTCCACACACTTGTCCACTTACATTCAAGGTTTTTCGCAAAACGCAAGGCTTGCATATGGAATTGGGATGAGCTCGATTGAAAACGCAAGTGTCGGTTTCGGTGTCGGCGTTAACACCGAAGCTGGTGTTGGGAGAAGCCTCTCGACACTAACACCGGGAGATAGCACCAACACCGAACACCAACACTCGATTTGAACTCATTCGATGTCTAACCTGGGAACTCCAGCTGAATGATGCTAGTACAGTGGAGGACTGCGTCATGCACCGAAGGGAAGAAATGGGCCATGGGTACTGTGTCAAAAAATGCCGTCCTTCGGAACATCTCCATCTGGGGCTCTAAAAATATATAGAATCCATTTCAAAGATAATTTCCATTGGTTCGACTGTACGATAATTATTTGCTCGTATGCGCACGCAGAGCTAAGCAAAAATGTAAGTACTGCATGTGCATGTAGGAGATTAATCCTAGATATAGGAATAAACACACAAAGTGGAAAAAATCTTTCCACTGAAAAGTATGAATGTGTTTTCACATTCGATCAGTGGGACTAAAGCAAACCCGTAACATAAGTTAAAGATGAAATTTTCGCCATCGTCGATAATGAATAATATCGAAATATTTATATATATTTCATCTCTTGCACATTTAGATGGTTAACATACCCTTGGCCCCAGCAATGTAGACATCAACACCGATGTCTTTATACTGAGCAACAAGAAATGTGAGGACGGCGATGCCCGAAGCATCCACGAAATTCACTCCAGTGAAATCAAAGATGAGATGTCGGAAAGGAAGTTGCCAGACGGTTTCCTCCTCCCCCTCCTCCTCTAGGTTTCTACTGATATTAACCGCCTCTTCCCCGTTCTTGTTCTCCTACGGCAAGAAAAAAAACATTGAATCTAAATATTTTCTGATTAGTGTGGGGAGAGGAGGTGATCGACGAGGAAGACTTGCCTTTCGGATGAAGGCTTGACTTCTTTTTTGCTTCTCTATGTAACTTTTCCATTTCGCCGGTTCAAGTTCTGTCATCTTGTAGACCTGTTGCTTGAAGTTCTCTCGATTCGCAAAATGGATCGCTGCCGCATAATGCAGAATCTTCATCCCCTCTTCTTCTCTCGCCTGCATGCAGAATACGAAGATTTTGCGAGACAAAGAAATACCAGCATCTCAGTCCAGCAAAGGATCTCATTAAAAAAGAGTATCCCACGGGATAATAACTGTACGGGGAGGTCACAAGTCATTGTCATTCCGTCTTACATGGATATGGAGCTCCATATGAAGGCAAGAGGGGGAGGGCCGAATTCTCCCCGATCAAAGATTGGGGCATCTCTGGTTTTCCTCCGTTTGGCGGTACAGTATTTCAGATTTTTCTACGAATCATTAAAAAAAAAGGCCCCGGTTCTTTTTATAGTTGCAAGAGTAGAATTCGATGGCTCGCGACTTCTGACCTTCAGGCAGAATAACGTCCGGGAATGGAACTCTTCGAGGTGCAAAGATCGATAGAATAGTGCCTCACGAGATAATACCGACGGACATCGACGAAGATGCCGGTGTTGGGGATGTGTCCGAGAACGCAGGCGTAGGCGCGTTGATCCCTCCAGATGAGGGTGGTCAGAGAAGCGGCGACCCCGATGGCCAAGCCGTAAACGATGTCAATTAGCACCACTGACAGGAACGTCGTCATCCAGACGACTGCTTCCAATTTGCTCACTAGCCAGGCCTTCTTCAGGTCCCGAAATTGCGAAAACAAGCCCTTCAAGGAGATCACTATGATCCCCGCCAGCACGGACTTCCGGGAAAAGAATTGGAAAAAAAGAGCTGTAAATTCATGACCAGTTTTTATTTTTATTTTTATTTTTTTTTAAGTCATTCCACAGATTAGGCCATAAGATAAAATGCAAAACATATATGTATGTACTTCTGACCTATTTGACAAAACTTACATAATACGAAATTGCTCGAGAACTATTGAACATGAAATTGAATGCATTCCAAGATCGTGTATAGGCAATGCCCGGAGAGATGACAGTGGAGAGGTGGGATTAGTAGTGACGAAATATAGGCTCCAATGTACAGTAGATGAGAAAGTTTCAAGTTTGTGTCAACAATCATGAATCCTCCCCGATCCCTATTCTCCATCACATTTACTGTCCCATTCTCTTAGCAGCCATCTTTCGAGGCATTGCCCTTACAGTAATTTGGAGAAAATACGTCACGCTTTGCTGTTTATATGCATAATATAAAATAATGTTTAAAAATAGTTGAAATTACGTGAAAGTAATCGATTCCAGCTGGAAGAACGAAGGCAGGTGCCATAAGAGCGTGGTAGGTAGATAAGATTACCTTGGGTAAGGTGCTGAAGAGAGGGGCAAGGAAGAGCAATATGAAGAAGAGAAGAACACAGGAGACAAGGGTTGCCAGTAGGGTCTTCCCACCGACTCCTTCCAAGACGAGACTTCGCGCCAAAGACGCCCCAAGCGGCGGACATTGGAACATCCCTCCAAACACGTTTCCTGCGCCCTACTCCCAGAGAATCGATCGAGAGAGTAAAAAGTGAAATTCATCACGACATAAGAGTCCATCAATCGATCACTGAATCCCTCCAATGAGAACGACCAACCCAAGTATGAATTCAATTATTTTGCGATACTTTTCTAATTAAAATGGACAGTTGAAATGCAGATGAAAATATATTAGTTTACTTTACGGTACTTTACCTACTTTCACATGAGAGTTCTGAAATCGTGAAACTCGTGAAACAAGGGAGGGGGAAACAGTTTTTTTTTATAATCGTTTTTTTTTTTTAAAGCAGACTACTGTTATATTATGCACAGTACCTGGGCAAGAAACTCTTGATTCGGGAGGATCTGGTAGCCGCCCCTACGAGCCAACAATATGGCCATGGAATAGGCGGTGGCATAGGCCATGATGGCAGTGATCGCACTCTGGAGCAAGAAGTCCATGTTCCCCATCAGCCACATGGGTGGGACCACCGGGTTGGGAAGCCTTTCATCGGAAACAAACATCCATTGTAGAGACCGATCATTCTCATGCACAGAGTGAGCGAGCGAAGACCGGTGTCTGACCCAGGTGGGATGTAGCCAACGGTGGAAACGTTGTACTTGGCAGTCAGATTCGTCCCGTAGGAAACCCCCGTCCCGACGACGACGCAGATCAACTCCATCGGCAGCGGAACTGGGCACCTCTTGCCTAGCCACGGCTGTCAAGTTTCTATGAAATTCAACTGTTCCTACCAGGCCCGGTCGGCGATTACATTCATCGGCTAAATTATGAAAAGCTACTCAATCACAAACGACCGTTCCTCGTGCCTTACCTTAATGAGCTCATTGTTCAATATCAATGCCAGCATCGTTACTAACGAAGCAATGAGGTCCGCCACGTTTGTTTGCGGGAGCATAGGGAAGAGATCTCGGTACGTCTGCAAGAAAAGAAATTCCCCATTGAAACTACTTCACATATTTCGCAGCACCAACGTCGTTAAAATAAACCTAAGCAGCGACCGCACTGCAACGAAGCGCTATGGAAGAGCAAGGTAAGAATACATGAAATAAAGATGTGGTCGCACTTGTACGATTATGGAGAGTCCATAGTGCCTGGGGAGAGGAAGGCCAAAGATGAGCTTCATCTGGGACGTCATCACGTGGACTGCAGCTCCCGTCGTGAAAGCGCTCACGAGAGTGTCCGATAAAAATACTGTGAGGCGCCCCATCTGGAAGATGCCCATCAGCACCTAAGAGAAAAATCAGCCTAATAATGTGGTTAAATCCTTTCAGTCGCAAAAGACCCAACTGAAACGTGTGGAGGAATTTCCAGTTCACGCTACTTACTGTAAATACTGCTCGCATAAAAAAAAATTCATGAAAAAATTATACTGATGCATGAGAACCGCTTTTAAGACACGATCACAAATCGGTACATCCTCTCTCATCAGTGAATCCCAGGGTGTGGTACATGGCAAATGCTTGAGCCCCATATTTTTCTCTTTTTTTTGTCACAGACATCCCCACAGGCGTAGTGAAATCAACAGGCTCATCTATCAAAGCTAACGCATTTAACGAGTGCTGTTGGCTTAGTCATTTACATCCTGAATAGAAACGACTTGGAAAAAGCTCCTGAGGCCTTCTCTTTTGGTGCACCGATTGCAAAATGACTGTAAATATCAAAGATCCAGATAATTAAATTCAAGAATGGCGGACAGTAAGATTGATCTCGCTCTCAATCGTCGATAGCCACACTCTTTGGGGTGACTCTACAGACGACCTTACCCATCACAAATTACATCAAGAAAAAAGGAAACGAGGCCACTGAAACGAGAGAATCTCATCCATATCTACAATTCATCTCCATCTCAATTCCACGGGTGAAATATCTAGAACCTGCCCTCCGTCATCTTTACATTTTGAGTCTTTTCCGAATTTCTCAAACATCCACATCGAGTTTCACACTAGAGTCGTCCACCGTCTGGCTTCCTATGCTCATCGAGATGAGTATCAAGTTACACAAAGAACCGAGAGGTTCCGAGTCCATACCACTTCCATCGCGAGAACGAACGATTTTTTTTTCATTTTGTCGTTTGGAGCAATCGAGCCTTCAGGGGCTATCACTAGTTGCGTTCATTTACAGACTACGTCAACGAAGGTGGAGAGAAAGGAAACTCCTTTGTTGTAACGTGATCTGCCAACAAGTGCAGGCATTCCATGCGAAAGTTCCTGAGGTATTCATACCTGAAATAAGCCCATGCTTAGAGCGAGAGCGGAGGCGATCTGGATTGCATGATGGGCATGTATCAATTCCTCGTCCTTCGAGGACGTGAAATTGGAATCTCCCGGAACGGGATTCACTTTGTTCAATTCATCTTGAAATTGGGCCACGACTTTCCCCGTCATTAGGCACACGACAGCGAAGCTTCCTACAAGGGCAGAAACGTTTGGCGTAACGAGTCTTTGTAGTCCAAAATGAGGCTAGACTTCTTTCAAGGAAAAGTTCGCCGTTTCTTAGTGGGATGTCTCCCTCTGATGTTAATGTTGGTGCCCAAATACTCCGGTGTGTAATTATTCCTTCTGCTCAGAATAAACTCAACATTATTGTTATTATTATTATTAAAGTTGGGACGGAACAGAAAGAGCGATATGAGTGCTATTGGAAAGGCCTTGTATGCGCAGAGGCCCCCATACCCACCGAATGCACCCCTGTCAAACTGGTCATTTCAACAAAGTTATCAGGTGATAAAATATTTTGCTGAAGTCAGCATACCCATGGATGCATGCCTTGAAGTACCCATGATGACATAGATGAGAACGGGGAATACGGCCAGGTAGATCCCTTGGACCGGAGGAACGTTGGCCAGCAAGGCATATCCCATCCCTAAAAGCGGAAAAATAATTTTAATTACCACGAAGTGGAATATCGGTCCCAAGCTTCTTCCGTCTTATCATTGCAGCACAATGAGAGGTGAAGAAATACAGGAACCGGTGGTCAAAACGTACAAGGAATAATTTTATGGAAATTGCAATCAATATACAGGGTGGTGCAAAAGTAGGTATACAGTTAGCTGTTTATTTACAAAACATTTAGAAGCTATTCTGGGAGATGTTCAAACTGGTGGTCGTCATTAGGGTTGCCACCCGATCATAGTTACTATGGACAGTACATATTTTAGATGCAATGTCAATAATGCAAACTTGTCTCAATATGAGCACTGCTTTGTCCATACTTTGAACTTAAGATTTTTTTTTAGTTAAGAAGCTTAATAAGCAGCTTTTGAGCTTAATAATAAGCTTAATAGCGGCTAAAACCATTCCTTTGTGCGAGTCAAGAGTAGTAAGCCACATTCTTATAGTATTGATTGGTGCCTACGCTAAAGGTGGCTCTAGGTACCTTACAGTATACCAGTGTACTTGGAAAATTTTTCAATATAATTTTATGCCCATGGTCCATATGTCCATATTTTGTTAATTCCTAAGATGGCAACCCTAGTCGTCACAGTTGACACTTCTGCATACTTTGACACAGTTCCTTATTTTCATTCATATCATTGAATGCATCTGTGTCATCTAACAGCTAACTGTATGTCTACTTTTGCATCACCCTATATATTAATGTAGGTACTCAAGCGCCATGAAATCTGTCAGAGTAAAATTGCGCCTCGAATCCATTGACCGAGTGAGTTGAATCGGCGAGTGCCGGACGACGCGTACGAACACCCTGCAGTACGCGCTGTCGAAACGTGACGAAAATCTGCATGTGGGTTCGTTGACAGCGACGATGATGCCGTTAAGGTCTCGTGGTTTCCTCTCACGCATTTCCCACGCGGAAACCACAAGTCTGCTCGTTTCAGCGATTAGCTAACTCCTTGAAAGGGAAACTTGAGAAGGAGACGGAGGGAGGAAGGTCCGGGAAGCTTATCTGGAGCCTCCATTCACGCGATAGCATTAGTCTCGGCTAGTTCTTGGTATCTCTACACCATTCGACCCTTCAGCCTTCATGTTCGATGAGAAGTGCTCGGTTCCTCTCTGAGATTTTCAAACATGCCCTGACCGACTCTGCAAACTTTTTTAAATATTTATTTTATTTCACAACACAGCACCATTATGCAGTCAGGTCCAACGTTACGAAGAAGAAGAAGGCTGACCTTGTGGGATGTGCATGATGGCAACAGTGCATCCGGCGATGATGTCTGGCAGAAGATCCTGCTTCACCTTGTACCGGGGGAGCCAGTAGAGGATGGGGAAGAGGGAATACAACATCGTCTGCGTCTTTTCCCATGTGCAACGGCATTGAGAGAACAAAAATTTTGCCGTAGTCGTCACCGCTGTTTCAAAATAGGAAATTTGAAGTGTCTACACAATTCTACTTGAAGAAAAAAAAATTTTATGTGAACGAAACTTAAAAAAAAGTATATAGATGATGTAGTGTGGGCTATATGCATGAACGGGGGAAAAAGAGGGGGAAGGGAAGGATGGAAAAAACCTCATTTTAAGACTTTTACCAGTTAAAAAATTGACAACTACCACCTCAATCCAATCCCCATAGAAGCTTACGTTAAGTATTCTATAGGCCTCCATATATAAATATACAGGGTGTCCATAAAAAACGTACACTTTTGAAGTTCTATATCTCCGGAACGGAAAGGCATAGGACAGTGAAATTTAAGGTTTATTAATAGAGCTTTATTAGTTCGTCTCTCTGCTTCTTCGTCAAAGTCATGATTTTTCTATCTATTACTGAAAAATATTACATACTTTCAGGAGTGGTTTAATACTGTCAAAAGTGCAAATATGGAAAAATAATATTTAAAAAAATTTCGTAAAACAGTCTCAAATAAAATCCCATGACCCCATGGTCGACACATATTAACAATTTTAATAGCTCACAATACGTAATTGCTTTATAATAGTGATTTAATACATTCGTCGAATTTTAATCGATTCCCAACATTCCTTCCGGTATGTGGCGCATGAAAGATGGTGAAATGAAGATGGTTAATCATTTCAAGTTAATTGCGAGCGGTCACGACTGTCCTGCACGGCCCAACGGGTGCGAGGAATCGGGTCGATCGAGACTGGAGACATTGGGAAAAAATGCGTCTTAGTTTCTCGGCCCGAACCTCGAACATTGGACTTGATGGGAGCATGAGTAGAAGGAAAGTCCATGCTGTCAGCATTCCTTCATTATCCAGATGGCCTGGTATCCGGGTAAAAGGAAAACAATGGCACGTCGGGCACTCACGAGGGAAAAGGAGTAGCTTCATTCTTGCATAGCTTTCCTCATCTCTTCCTTTCGTCATTGAAAAGGACAGATTGAAAGCAAGAAGACCTCCTCATACCCAGGAAAAGTAAAACCCATAGGATTTGACACATCCCAGGTCATACCACCCAGGTCTTAGAAGGTTAAATCGCGATTTTAACGACTAATCAAAATAATGAATCTAAATGAACTCCAACACCATCTCCCCCCCCCCCCCCTTGCCTCCCTGAAGTGCGCGACGCGTCGGTACGTCTTTTACTAGGGCGGCGCACAATCTTATTTCATAACGGGTCAAATTGAGTTACCGACTCAGTTCGAGGGAAGCAGATGTTTCTACCGAAGGTCGTACTTGACGTATCCGCTTATTAATGAGACTTTTAGCACTGTTTTTTTTTTTTTGCAGCCCATCCGGTCGGAAGGAGGCCGCGTGCATCCTGCGGGTTCTGCATCACTGCTCCAGAGAACGGCTCAATACAGAAGGGAACTAGCTCCGATGGACTTTCTCTCGACCCTCGTTTCCCATCACGTCTAATACCGAAGATCCTTCCATTAAAGCCCCGGTGCGACCTCGCGCACGTATCGAGGCCGAAAGGAGTCATGATTGCTCAGAAGATAAAATGGTATGATATCTTTCATTCTCTGCATCCGTGGAGGAAAATCGAGGCTCCATCGACTTTCGATTAACCGCTTCAACGATCCTCGGTAAATCGATTTGCCCTACTCTTTGGGGAAAATAAGAAACAAATCAGGGCATTCCTCATTTACTCATTGTTCTGGTGTTTCTCTGAAAGTACACTCCAATGGATCTAGTACTGGGAACTTAATACACGAGACCTCGATAGACAGACACCCAGAACGAAACGTGTCTATCGATAACCTCATTTCTTGAATCGCTAAATTCATCAACCGTCGTCGTCGAACACGAACATCTACGAATACGTCTACACTATCTCCGGAAGTTCTGGGTCGTTCGTTACGTACGGTGGACCTGGGACCTTGAGCAACGGAGAGAGCGTAGAATCTTCATACTTCGTGCAAAAGCGAGCTCGACTCGTCGGGATGAAAGTCGTATGGAATGGCCTCATCATGCAATACGATTCAAATAGAAAGTAATATCGTGCTTTATATGGAGATGCAAATGGAGACGGTTTGACGTACAGATGGTGCTCGTCGGGGACGGATGATACAGGAAATCCTGATTAAGGTCAAGCTGAGTGAAGGCCCTTCTCTCGCCCCTCGGGGGCATGGCTGCCGAGGTCATCCACTATAGGCGAGAAACCGCTCCTCCCGATCGATCTGTTCGAATGAAAGAGACGAGAAAGAACTTCAGTCGTGGAGCGAATGGCGAAAAAATTACACTGAAAATTTCAGTACATCTCATAACGGCTTCGTTATGAAAAAAGCACGTGAATCGGGAACGATGTCATTGTCGAAACGGTTCGGACCGGCTTCGATTAATGGGACGGTCGCTCGAGGGAACTTCACGAGGGCAGACACAACGCAAACACAAAAAGACCTAAACCGGTGTTCAGGCACGTTTCCTGTACCCGAACTCGTAAAATGAGGGATGGTAGAGCGTTCTCAGAGGTGGCACGTGGGAGAATGCGGATCGAGAGTCCCGGCTCGGTCCTGCACATTCACTGCGCAGGATCTATGCCCGCTAGCAATATCTGGTCGTCACGGCGAACGCAGGAACGGTCCCTCGTTCCTTCCGAAGGAATCGTCCCGAGTTAATTCTATACGATCTCTGGACCGATCTGAATCATAGAGCATGCGGAGATCCAGTCGCGGTGCAGAAGGAAAAGCAAAAAATGGTACCGCTGCAGAACTACATCGACAGACGAACGAGGACGAAATCGCGTGGGCGGGGATAGAACCGACACGAAACTGCGTCGACGGGGAAGATCGCAGACGATGGCGCAGGCACGCGAAAACGACGTGGAAAAAGCACTCAAAGCCGGTGATGAGACGAGGAACGACGTCCGACTCGGAATACGACGGCACGAAAGGAGGGTACAAGAATGCGCAAGCGAAGAGTTCCATTAGGGAATCGTGCAGACGGCAACGACGGAGAACCGTTAATGGAGGAGCCGATTCATCGAGCGTAGCATAGATGGCGGAGGCTTCTCGTAGAAGCCCCTTCTACGCCAGGCTTTCCAAAATCAATACTGGGCGCGTCGTTGAAACTCGGAGAGCCAGAAGAACGGGATAAACTGCGTCTAACGAAACGAGCTCAGGGGTCTGTTGTGCGAAATATAGGCCTACTTTTTACGACAGCCCAAATGTTCGATAGAGATCGGGTCCATTCGACTCGGATGTTACTCTCCCATCTTCCTGCGCCTGGGATTGCCAGTTTCAACTCCGTGCTGATAATTTTACAATTCTCAATCAGAATCAGACGGTAGGTCACTGGTGTGTTCTCGATGGACCAGAGCCCTCGACGCAATTAGCTCCTCGGTTCGCGACACGCATGCAAGAATACAACCGATGTAAGATCACGCGAGATATACCTGGGGTCAACAAAGGCAACAACCGATCGGGAGACACGGTTCATGCACCCATTCGACGGCAAACGATAGAACGTGAATACATGGCACCTACGATGACGAATGCGTACAGCGACCACCTGCAGCCGATTGCTTGCCTCCCGACGCCGTCGAACCGCGTCACGTGCAATGCAGAAGGCAGGTGCAAACGTTCCGGACGCAGTTGCGAGACGCTTCGACGGCGGGTCGAAATCGGGGGAACGCGTCCAGCCGTCCCGGATCGTTCCCAATCCACTGTGATCCGTCGGGTCGTATCGGGGGACCTCGGCGGTCATTCGACGCGAGCTCGTCGTCCGGTCCGATTCCCAGGAAATACGATATCGGGGTCGTGACGCACTCCGTGGCGGAGGACCACCCTCCAGGAACGTGATCTTCCGGTGGTGGGAGCGAAACGCGGCTCATCGGAACGATGGAACGTTGCAGCTTCACATGCCGCCGCGATTTTATTCTGCCCGTTGCACAGATGCAGTCTCCATGTTCTGCATGTAACGTGCACTTGTTCAAGCAATAAAAAATGGGAAACATTCCTACCTTTTCCCCCCGCCCTTACCGCCCCCTGCTCAGTGGTGAAAGACCACCGCCGTTCACTGGAATCTCCACACTTTCTTTTTATTGTTTTAGCCTTTCCCCCCCCCCCCTCCCTTTCAATCGAATGCTAATTTCATGAAAGTAGTTCAATAGAAAGGCAATGACAAGAGCGACCCGAAGAACGTGAACATGCGATAAAGGGTATTTCCCTTTCCATCCCTATCCTAGTTTTCCGTCCCATTATTACCACGTCTCTCCCTCCCTCTGTGAAACCAGAGGACCGATCAGAATCGCTGATAAGAATAAAAATGATACGTCGTTCGTGGCATGTATAAAGGGGAACTCTGATTTATAGTCGATTTGCATTCCCCTTCCCCAGTTGTGTTCGAATGCCGCTCCCTCAGAAAAAAAGGGAAAATCCCAACATGGAAATACTTAAGTTAAGGATGTTGAACCAGAAAACAGAGTTCCTTGACTCGGCGGTTTCTCACTTTTCCTCTTTTCATGTTATTGTATACTCCTGTATGATACACTTCGTTTTTCAGCATCTCTTTTTATCGTAAGCCTTACGGCATGGGTGTCAAACTCGATTATGTCGGATGAACCCTGAAGGGGTGGTTGGGGGCCACACTGACAATTCTTACACGACATTTTAAAGCAAACGGGTTGAAATTAGCAGTACTTTTCCGAAAGCGACTGGTGTCGAGAACTTCGCGGGTCGGACAAAATGGACGGGCTGGCTGGATCCGGCCTGCGGGCTGCCAATTTGACACCCCCGCCCGACGGAATTATTGAGCCTTCGCTCACGCAGGCGAGAAGGGGATCCATGCTGTGATAGTGAAGCTCCCATCAGCGATGCAAAACGAATTTTCAAACGGAAATGACAATGTAGATGCGTGTCCTTTCTACGCCCTACTTATAATGAAGACATCTTCCCGCATTCTGGCTAGAGGGCAGGAGAGTCGCACGGGAATGTGTTACCTGTCGATCTCAGTATTCCGACGGACAGAGTATCGATATCAGTACTAATCGATCAAAATTCCCCTCGGTTGTCATGTGGTTAGAGTGCTCCTTTAAGCATTATTTTTGTCAAAATCTGATCGAGGTAAACTCGGTTAAATTCAAATGAGAAAAAAAATCAGCCACAGGAACCAGCCATTTCATTGCCATTTCGCTAAGCTATTAGCATATTATGCCATCATTGAAATTATCCCTGTTCCCATCGAGAAGCACCAGTTCAGCAGAGAGCTGTCCTCCACGGTCCATATTAAAAACCGGTCTTAAGAGGTGGATTCCCGTAAAGTGCGTAGCAGAAGGCTTAGCAGGGATCGCAGTCCGGTAGTGCGTTGAGAAATATCGGCACGATTCTTAACGTAGCGCTAAACACCGACCACTATCGAATAGGGGACAAGGATTCGACGACCCGTGCCCAGGGGGAACACTCCGTACCACGACTTAATTCATACCTTTCGTGACACTAACGTGTCGTCGGTTCGTACAGTACTTCGACGAAAGCGCAAAAATCGCAGTTCCTCTGTAAGTCCGCCGAAGGTCGCGAATACCACGAGAAGGGATGCTGGACGGTTCGCACACGGCCACTAAAGACAGCTTCTCCTGGACGAGGAGAGGAAGAGGGGAAAAAAAAGGGCGCTAAACGGTTCGCATCGGATGGAGACACATCCATGGGAAGACGTGTCTCCGGACGGCCTGCACTCCGGGGATCATCATACACCCAGTAAAAACTGGCACACGTGTGAAAGCGGATCAATAGTTACATCGGAAGAGATCCACTACGACGGACGATTGGGGATTTCCCCGAGACTTTCAGAGGCTGTGCCTGGTCGAAGCGGTTTCCCGAGCGCCACGTAGTCGGCAATTGCGCCTCGGGCGTTAATGCCCGATCCTACTCCCGGAAAACCCCTAAGACCCTTAATATTCCGAACAGGTTTCCCGGGTCGTCTTCGATCGGCACTCCCTTCGTGTACCCCCGTTAACCACCCGATGACCTTCTCCGGTTACTTTTAGACCGAACGTTCACCGATTGCGTTCGATCCCTGCAGCAGGAAACCGGGATACTCCTATTCCTTTGAATGCTTGGTAGAGGGATTTCCTGCTGCCAAGACCGAATGCAGACAGACGATACATGCCTAGAAGGGAATATTTTTGAACGAAGGTGTACAGTCTCTATTTCCTGTAACTCGTGCAAAATGCTTGGGTAAAACAGGGAATCGAGTTCCCTAGAGATGACAGAGATGATTACATTCGAGGCAACCGTACACGTGGAAAGTAAACCCGAGTTAAACTCGTAATCGACAATGTGCAACTCGTAATCGGCAATGTGCCGAGGTCGAGAAGATTCCGGGCTCTGGTAGACACCGATCAAACTAATAGTCGAGATCAAGCGGAAAGTATCAGTCGATTCCGACCGACCAGTTCACTTTAGTGCAACTACTGATGCTAACTAATTTCCAGCCGAGTGGTTACACTCGGAATTCGCCGAAGAGAAAGATGGGCAGAGTTGAAGGAAAATCAAACCAGACGGTCAGGAACACGTGTAAATGCAAAGCGACTGACTGCAATGAACTCGCTTCCGCAGCCGGCTTCTCCCAGCGAGGTCGTCTGTACGTTCCTAGACGATCGCAGCGCTCTCTTACGGACCGACGGTTAAACAAATGAACCGGTATACATCCCAGATGTCTTTCTTTTTTTTTTCCTTTCGGCCGAACGCGACGAAATATCGCTCCAGGGTGCTGGGATCGTCCGAGACTGCTCATGTCGAGACGAACAAAGGCATTGTGGTAGGTCTGGAATTCTCAAAAAGAGAACACGACATTTCGTTTAACCCTCAACTGGTATCGTTGTTTTTATTTTTCATTACGCAACCGATGTCGTGACCTTTGACCCTAACAATAAAATTCTCAATAAAATGGTCTTATTTAAAGAAAAGTTAATTATTGTCAGTTTCGTAGCTAGCTTCCCTGCAGTGAAGTTAGTGCGAAACTGCCACAATAGAGGTTCTAATGCCATATGAAGGTACTTGGACGCATCGGACACGGACGTATTGATCGCAAGCGCCATCTCTCCGCCATCGACTCGGTGGGGTCTCTCGCGACCGCACCGTGCTAGTTCAGGGTTAAAACTTGCTTCAGGAGTGAGCGAAAAAAACCGAAACGACTTTTTCTTCCGCCTTTTCAGACTTTCAAGGCGAGTTCCATCATTTTGGTTCTATCATTTTCGGGTTTAAATTTTGCTTTTCGTACTCGCAGGATGACAGAAGACAGAATAATGCTAGGTTTAAGGTCTGTACTCCTTGCCTTGGGGTCGGGGGAAAATCTCAATTTTCCGCTCGGCAGGTCATTTATGGCTTCTGTCGACTAATTGGTGCCGTGTCGGAAAGCTGGGAAGCTCGAAATCAAACTAGAGTTGGCGTGACGGCATTCATCGATCTCGTGGGAAGGCTATGAGCAGGGCCGCCGAGGGGGCGGGGGGGGGGGGGGGGGGGGGGGGGGGGGGGGG